TGTAAAATCTAATAGTCATGGAAGTTTTATTTGTAATTGCTATTTAATTTGCTCTGAAGGATCCAAATTTCTCATTTATGCTTTTGTTTGTATCTCTATGCATTAGTGATATGCTGGTCCTTCTGTAAACAAACTACAACCGTGCAAGAAGCAAATACAAACAGCACATTTAGTGCTTGGTGCTTCATGTTTTTTCTTGTTTTATTTAAATGGATGAGTAAGCATGTATCTGAATTTTTTTTTCCTTTTTTTCCTTCAAATTGATCTTATATGTGGAAAGCTTTTATGTCTCCAGCCTCAAATGTATGCTGTAAATGAGAACTTGAAATGATGGACTAGGTATTGGCTGAATTCCATCAATGATTTCTGCTGTTAGGTTTGAATTGATGAGTTTGACTGCTCTTGAGCATTTTTGCATAGCAATAAGGAATGGTTGCTATGTTTGAGCTCTTCCAAAGTGTGAATATTGTTCTCAAGTTTCTGAAGTAATATAAGTTTGTATATGGAATAATGGTCTTTGTCAAGTTTGAAGATTGAAAGTACAGTATGCATGCATTTGACTTGTAATTCTGAGTTTCATATACGACAACTTCTGGTTTTAGAGTTAATTCTTCCTCTCGTATTACCCTCTGCATGATAGATTGCCTGTCGTATTTGAGAATATGCTGTCTGCATTTGTTTATGTATGAGAGTTTATGATAGGATTTCTTGTCTTCTAGTTTGAAGCTCTTGGATCAAGGAGCTTGTAAGACATTCTTAAACTTAAAAGTGAAGGCACCTTTTGCAGGGACATTTGTCCAGACACTCGTTTGCTCTACACTTTAGGTTTGGTAGGATTTTATTTGTTTGCCTTATTCTCCCAAGGACTTGTTTCCTCATATTATGGTTGCAGGTAGGCCACTCAGCATATCCTGATTCACCTCTGGGACCTGATGCATTCCGTGAATATGAATCTTTACTAGTTCAAGATTATGAGGAACTCATAAAAGGAGGTCAGATGAAATCTAGAGAGTCTGATGATAGCAATCCGAGGGAGAGTTTAATTCCTGAAGGTGAAGGATGGTCGCAACTGGCTTTTGATGGAGATGACGTTTCCAACTCTGGCCCCACTTCAACTGCAAAAGTTGTATATAAAGATGGTTTTCCTGTGCCTGCAGCAGATGGAGGCCGAATGCTAGTTGTTAATGTTCATCACTACCCATTAATATTATGTCCTTTTTCACCTAGAGTTTTTGTTTTACCTTCTGAAGGATCAGTTGCGGAAGGAAACTTGTCAGTTGAACATGAGAACTCAATAAGCCCTGGGTTGCCTTCAATAAGTACTGGAACACCTGATGATGGTGAGGATGTGCCTGCTGGGGCAACTCTTACAGCTCAGTTTCTTTATCATCTGGCTACAAAGGTGATGATGCTATATTGTTGCTTTCTTTTCTGATCTCATTTTGTTTTCCACAAAATTGGTAACTTAAACTTGACTATTACCTTCGCAGCAGAAAGTTGTGTTCAACACTCCATTACCCCACAATTGCTCCTTCTGCGTGATAAAATTGAGAAAAACAAGTGAACATACTTGTCAGCTAATTGTATTATATCTTTCTGGTCCAGTGCCATAATTCAAATGTACTTATGTTGTTACATTGTTTGCTACAAAATAGATGGATCTGAAACTCGAAATATTTTCCCTTGGTGATCTCTCAAAAACTGTTGGGAGGCTTTTGATGGACATGTCAAGTCTTTATGATGTTGGTCGTCGTAAAAGATCTGCAGGGCTGCTTCTTATTGATCGGACACTTGATCTTCTTACTCCATGCTGTCATGGAGATTCACTGGTGGATAGGATATTTTCATGTTTGCCTCGAAGGGAACCGACAACTTCATTAACTCACATGAAAGGATCTCAAAGTCAACTCAAGCATGGTGTTGTACGTCCTCCTCTTGATGTTCAGATACCACTTGATAAAATACTTGAGGAAGAAACTTTAGGAGATAATTTCCAGCTTCTAGAAAGCATTGAGGCATTTTTACATGGGTGGGATTCTAGCAATGCTGCTGCTCAAATTGTTGATTTGACAAATCTGAGTAAGAAACTAAATGGAGAAAAGCCGCTGCAAAATTCCAAGTTTGAGCAAATAAGGGGTTCCTTTGTCTCTACTGATAATTTTCATGAAACTAAGTACCTGGAAGCTATACTGGACAGAAGAACAAAAGATGGGGCTGTGCTAATTAAGAAATGGCTTCAAGAAAGTTTGCGGCAGGAAAATATAACTCTGAACATGAAAATTCGTCAACGTTCCATTTCCAACACAGAGCTTCAACCAATGATTAAGGCAATAGCAAAAAGTCAATCATCGCTAGTGAGAAACAAAGGGATCATTCAGTTAGCAGCAGCAACAGTAACCGCTTTAGACGAATTACATTCTACCAGATGGGATGGATTTAGCAGTGCTGAGAAGATATTGAACGTAAATGCAGGAGATACGAGCCAGAGCCTTGCCTCTCAGATTAGTGATCTCATTAACAAGAGTGCTTTAGTGGGTTTGCAGGAGCATAAGAGTCATTCTTCACAGGGTCTGCTTAGCCTTCAAGATGCTCTACTTCTTACAGTTATTGGGTATATACTGGCAGGTGAGAACTTTCCAACATCTGGATCTGGTGGTCCATTTTCTTGGCAAGAGGAACATTTTATGCAAGAAGCTATTTTGGATGCAATACTTGAGAACCCAGCAGTAGCAAGACTGAAATTTCTCCAAGGTTTGGCAGAAGAGCTAAAAGCCAACTTCAGCCGGAGAAATCCAGATGAAAAGAAGGAAGAGTCTCCAAGTCAATTGGAAACAGTTGATTTTGATGATGATCAGTGGGAGAGTTGGGGTGACGAAAACGAGGATACGGATAAAACAAAAGACCAAGCTTATGGAGACATGCAACTCAAGTTAGAATTACGAGATAGGGTGGATAATCTTTTCAAATTCCTTCACAAATTATCCAGCTTGAGGAGAATTATGCCTTTGGAAACAAAGTTGAACGATGATCCTTATTCCAATAAAGGATTGCTGTACAAAGTTCTGACAAGGGTGTTGGCTAAGTATGATGTCCCTGGGCTAGAGTACCATTCCTCCACTGTCGGACGGCTTTTCAAGAGTGGATTTGGAAGATTTGGTCTTGGACAGGTATTGGGTTCAGTTCATCTTGATATTTCCCCCTATGTTGAGACAAAAAAGCATGAAATCTATCCTTATTATCTAATACTGAAGAGCTTTTCTTTTGAACTTTCCAGGCGAAACCGAGTCTTGCTGACCAAGATATTATACTTGTTTTTGTCATAGGAGGCATCAATACTGTAGAGGTGTGCATAATTTAACTTGATCTAGTTCACTTTTGCTTTACTTACTGCTATATCCTCATCTTTGTATCTCCAATCGAGTGGTTTGAACTCGAAGACTATAAGATACTTTCTCTCTTCCAAAAGGAAATCAAAAAAGAGATAGAGCAAAGGAAGACGGGAAATGGTAAAATAAATAGTGTCTATGTAATCCTTAAAAAATTAGAGAGAAGAAATTTAGCCATGTATTAGACACTGGAAACATGCTCACACCTATTTGTTTTGTGGTTAAGGTACGGGAAGCTCATGAGGCATTATCAGAAAGTAGTAGGCCTGATAAAGAACTGATTCTTGGTGGAACAACCCTTCTCACTCCTGATGACATGTTTGAGTTACTTTTGGGAGAATCTAGTTTCATATGAGCCTACCTTGTGACACCTTCCACTGAGGAAGTTGAAAGAAACCAACCAGAGATCAGAAGTATCCAAGTTGTAGAGTGTTTTTCTTTTCATTTTTCCTAACCTCCATTAGAGGCAAAGCTGAGAAAGAGTGGCTACAAATACTTCTTTCTCACTCCTGATGACATGTTTGAGTTACTCTTGGGAGAATCCAGTTTCATATGAGGCTGCCTTGTGACACCTTCTACTCAGGAAGTTGAAGAAACCAACCGCAGATCAGAAGTATTCAAGTTGTAAAGTGTTTTCTTTTTCATTCTTCCTAACCTTCATTATAGAGAAGGGTATGACAGAATAGCTATGGATACATCTTTTTTCCTTATTCATTTTCATTTGTTCTTTTGACTGAGCAAGGGGCAAAAAGTAACTTCTAATGTATTTCTTTGAAATAGTTTGACTACTTTTTCAAAATGCAGATTTGGTTTGGAGTTCACTCATGCACATCATCATTCTCTCTGCGTAGTTGCTCGCACCGGCAGAAACTGTGACCAACTGTTTTACATTGCCTGAATTTTTCAGCATTTTTTGTGATGAACAGTTAAACACGAGCTCGGAAAGGCATTCTTCAACTCATACCAAGCCAGTCTTCTTGCTGCGAAGGCCAATTCCAGATTTCCAGCTCCCTACCTCAGAGCAGCTACCCAAATTACTGTAGGATTTGGTGTCATCACAGTTTCTGTTGCAACATTACAGTTTCTCTATCTAATTTGCTCGCATTGGCTTTCGTAGCTTTAGTCTTGAAGGGAAACCTTAAAATTTTATATTACTTATTGGGGTGTCCGTCAAGAACTTGATGTCAGGGCACTATACTGATACATGGTTACATAAAATTTCAATTTTGTTAGCTCTACAGGCAGCTTGTTTGCATTTTCATTTTATTCCTTCCTGTATGCAGCCTCCTGACTTTTGCTTCCCCTTTTCCCAATCCTTTTCAATCCATGGATTTGACAGCATATGATAGTTCTGATGATCAACTTGAATATGATAACATGAAATAGGCTGAACCCCTCAGCCCAAAACCACAGAGAATCCTCAAAAAAACAAAAAAGGAAAATCAAACTTCCCATTTTTCCAATATGTAAGTAAAAGCACAAAATATTAAGATTCAAAATATTCTATAAGGAAAACAAAAATGACAGGGGTACCTGTGTCTGTGTGTGCTCATTTATAAATAATAATAATAATTATTATAATTATAATAAAACCTTTCCCCCTGAACCGGCCGGTCCGTGCGTAAACCTCTAAAGGGCTAAAACCCCAGCTCTCTTCTTCTTCGTCTTCACTCTTGAGTAGTGACTATTCACACCATTTCTGAGCTTTTTGGAGGTCTGAAACATGGCCGTATTCAAGCAACTTCTCTCTCAAGCCCACCGCCATTACTCCTTCCCTAAATCCCACCAATCCCTACTTTCTCTCCTTACTAGAAATCGGCCCTTTTCCGACCAACCTCCTCCAAATTCATCCCCAAGAAACCCCATCCCCATCCAACCGGTTTCCTACGCCGTTAAAGAACCCAATCCCGAAAACAAGGAAATCCCACCACCAGCAGCTACTGAATCCCAGCCCCAAGGCCCCGCCACAGGCCAATCATCATCGCCACCGGAGCAAAACCCTGGTGGGCCGGACCAGGATGTTAGAGCGTCTTGGACCCGAGAGGAAATTCGATATGTGAAGGATACTCCGATTATTTCTCCGGTGTCGTACCAGGCTCGGGTGGCCCCGTTGCCTGAGGACCGGGTGGCGGCTGAGGAGGTGAAGGAGGATGATGAGTTGGAGACGGAGAGGAGGAGAATTGAGGCTGAAAATCAGAATATGATGAGGAGGGTTTTGAGGGTTCAGGAGGAAAAGGTCCCTTTTCCAACTTTGATTAGGACGGATGATAGTAAGAAAGGGAAGGTTGTTTATGATCTTAAAGATGCAATTCAGCTAGTAAAGGTCGGATTTTTACCCTTTTTCTTCCCCCTCGGATTGTACTCTTTAAAGATAATAGCATCGAATAGTTGTTTGTTGGTTTGGAAAATGAATATAGGATGCATTTTATGTAAGCTTATTTAGACAGATGGAGTTGTGGATACATTTTCTTCTACAAATTATGTTCTTTAAAGTGGTATAGAAGCTTGTGAACTAATAAATTGTTTGGTATTTAGTTACATTTGGGGAATGATCTGCTGAAATTTTGATGGTGTAAATGTTGTGACCGATACAGGAACTCGTGAACTAGTTAAATGGATGATCTTTAGGTGCCATAAGGAATTAGAGTGTTAGTAAAAAAATTTCTGATGTTGCAAATGTTTATTTGAGAAAGGACCTGGAATAGTGATTAACATGTTAGGACAGGGTTGAAGCTCTGGTGAAGAGTGCAGGTTATTTGCTGTCTTTAGGATAATTGGTTCAGTAGGTGTTTATGTAAGAGGAAGCACGTGCAGTTCCCTCTGTGTATGCTGAGACTAAGTCTGGATGACATGAATAAGTTCTTCGTGTTCTTTTTCTTGAACTTCTGCAGCCTTGTTCTGGAAACTAGTGTAATTTGGTTTGTCTTCTTTCTAGTGATTGTACAGGCTAATGCCAAGCGTAATTTTGAGGAAACGTTTGAAGCACACATCAAACTGACACCTGAATTACGTAGAACTGATCTGGTGTGTGTTCTTTCCTTTCTTTCCATGATAATTTTTGCTAAGAAAAAGAAGCAAATCCAATCACATGGTTACCACCATTTTGTTGTAGTACTAAGTGTGCAGTTTTACCCTACGAGCAGGGCGGTCTACCATGCACCCATATCTAGTAGTGATACCTCTTATTTTGTAACTATAATAGTTTTTCTTTTCTCTTGTTCAAGTGCAGAAGCTTAGTGGTTCTGTCTTGCTCCCACATGGTTGTGGAAAGGTAAAACATGTACTTAGATGGGTCTACCTCTGATAATGAGTTTGGCTTTTCTTTTCCCCTTGAACTGATTGATGACCATTTACTCTCAGAATTTTCGGGTGGCTGTCTTTGCTGAAGGAGATGCTGCGGAGGAGGCTCGTGAAGCTGGGGCTGCTTGTGTTGGTGGAAAGGAGCTTGTAGATAGAATAAAGAGAGGTGAGGAACTGTTTTTCTTTTATGGTCTCTTCTGATTTGGTAATGCATGATTGGTCATCTTGTTGACCAGGGTATAGTTAACATGATTCTGCCATCTGTCACCCTCATAAACAAAAGAATAAGATAAGAAACTAGGGGTGTTACTTATGAAATCCTATGTTTCAAAAACAGAGGACTGGTGGGAATTATTTTGCTGACAAGTATCATAATTAAAATTTTCTTGGGTCTCTAGTCTCGCCCTTCTTTGCTTCTTCGATCTGTATTCGAGGACTAATAGAAGCCCAAATTTTCTAGTCGGTTCAAAATTGAATTGAGCCAAGTAATAAAGGTTAAATATGCCTTTTGGTTGATGGTGGTTGCGTGTGAACTTTTACAGTAACTTCTGATTTTCCTTCCTCTATGTAATCTTGTTGGCCTATTTGGAAAGAAATTATCATAGAATTGCTCGACTCATTAAAATCAATTATCTGCAGGTGAGGAGAAATTTCGGTATGATAGATGTTTTGCTACTCGGGAAATGATGATTTACGTGCCAAAGGTTTTTCTGACTTTAGCTGTATTGTAAACTTTCCAGTCAATAAAGTTTAGCATCTGTTGCATCTCATGTTTTCCATGCTGCAGATAGCAAAATTCCTGAAGCGAGGGTTGATGCCAAATCCTGATGTTAGTTTCATCAGCATGTTTTCTTAATGATTTGCAGTTTCCTTGTTTGACTATTAATGCCCTTCTACCTGATACATGTAGAATGGCACTGTGACCAATGACATTTCAAGGGCTGTTAGAGAAGCAATAAGTCAAACCATTATGTTCCAAAAAGATAAATCTGCAATAGTGCATGTACCACTTGGAAAGGTTTGATTACTTCAAATTTTCTTGTTCATCTTGTTTTGTATTAAATCAAGTCAAAGGATATGTAAATTATTATTTGGAGCCAGTTCTGATATGTATTGTTTGGAATGGAACAATAATCTTGTGCAGGTGACGTATCCAGAAGAAGCCTTACGTGAAAATATAGGTGCCTTTGTCAATGCCCTCTTGCATGCTAAACCTGCAGGATTAAAGAAGAGTAAGTGGTTTGCACTAGGGATTTGTGATTTCTTATTCATTGAGATTGATAAAATGGGCAAATACTTGATTGATGCTGTGAACTGAAACAGCATATTTTTCCCTTTTGTGAGATTTACTTCATAATTCTATTGGTTATGAATCCTATGCATCTTGTTCTCTTGTTTTCCATAATTGTGTTCCCTAAGCGTGATTTTCATATTTCACTGGTCCCAAAAAAAAAGGAAAAAAAAAGAAAGAATAAGACAGAAAATAGTTACGAGGATACTAATAAAGCTTTATTGATTAAGATACATGAGGCCCCTTGCATTAAATAGTTATGCAGGTTTATTATTAGAGTGACTACTGTCCCTTGTCTCAGTGGGTGTTTTTGTTTTCTGATTAACTAAATTGGTTTGTCATGGGTTCTTGGTTTTTGATGGTTGTTCCTTTCTTGATGATGGCATTTTCACCTCAATCCAGGTTCCAAATATGCTGGGTACGTTAGTACTTTTCACATCTGCAGCACGGTAAGCTCACGAACGTGTTTTTGGTTGCTTGCATTTAATGATTAATGCATTTGATTTCTATTGTTTGCTATCAGAACATTTTACCTTCATATACAATTGTACCGTATGTTCCATTCTTACTGTTTGATCCATGGAAAATGCAGATGGGTTCATCAGTCCCTGTAACAATGCAATCGGTGTCCATGGCTGTTGATCGATACAACAAATTGAGACTGCAGGCATAATTAGCTTAGGTTCAATCGGTGGAGCTCGTGATTTTGTAGTAGCAATGTGTTGCTGGTGAAATCTCTCTGTGATGGTTTTGCATCATGGTTCCTCTTATGTTTTTCCCTCATTTAGGTTACTGGTTCTCCTTTTTTGTTTTTTGAATAGGTTTATTTGTAATATGTCTCTACTTCTCTATTTTAAAGTTGCATTCGGTTGTAGTGAATACAGAGTAGGGTTTAGCTCAAAGGGCCGAGTAGAGGGTTATTAAACAATCACAAAGCAGTTCTGTACCATCCTTTATTTTGTAATTTCAAGACGAGCCATGGTTGTTTCCTTAATGGATGAGCCATCCATAGGTTTGCTTCCATGAACACAGCTTTCAGCTAAACCTCTTAAAAGGTAAAAGCATTATCTTCAATTTTTTAATTGCAACTGCATTTTTAATTCAATTTGGTTAAATACAATTGCAATTTCAACTGCAAAAATTCACGAATTCAGACCTTTGAAGACAAACAAACATCGGTTCCTGTCTGGTTTTCAATTTCAATCCACCTTTGATGTTTGAGAAAAGAACTCAAAAGAAAGAAACAATAAAGCTGCATATAGATTGTTTTGTAAGGTGAACGACCACAAAGATTTTGAAAGACGCTACTTGCACCGTCCATGATATGGGCCACATTGTGCCCCTAGTGATCCAAACTTCTGAGGATTCTTGAAGCAGTCAATAATATATCCCACATCTGGACGTCATGCCAATTTTGTACAAGATTCTCCCTGATATGCCATGCAATAACATGGAAGGAATCGACAATGAGCCTCTGGATGCTAGGGGGCCAATGTGCAGGTTTCAAGCAAAAAAGTGGAAGAAATGGCCAAATGCCCCGGATCGTTAGTTTTTGTACTCCAGAAATGGCCAAAAGCCTCGGATGCTACAATCTATAGAAAGCCGCTTCTGACGGTAAAAAAAGGTGAGAACCTCTTTTCGAGGAACTTGTTATTGCGCTTCACCATTTCTCCTGGAGCAAGCTTGGGATGTGAAAAAAAAAAAAAAGCATAGCCTAGATAAGTTTTTTTTTTTTTTTTTTTGGAAATTACCTAGAAAAGTTACTACTAGCTAGCGGACTAATGGTACAAATATACAAGAAGTTAACTTTAAATGTTCAAAGATAATTTCTTGTTTTACCAGTACCCGTAATTGGAACGTGAATGGAAATGTACAAACTGCTAACCCTACATCTGCTGGTGAACATTTCACATTCAGCTATGTACGTTGAAATAACTTGCGGTACCAAAAAACCATTTGTACGTTGTACAAAATGTTGAGCAGCCAACTAGACCAAATTGATTGTACAGTGTCTGAAAGAATTCTGTCGTCCTCTTCTCGAGTTCATTCTATCTTCTTCATTTCCCCTTTGCTATTATATTAGAGTACTGTAACTCCGTAAGTGGGTAACGCTCCACCCCTCCATAGAAGAAGAAGACAAAACAGGAAACAGAGGAAACACACAAAAAGGATTGTTAAGTGGAATTAATGCAACTGACCACTTTTAGTCACTTCAACGTTCAAACCTTTAATTCTTTCCCCCAAAACAAAAAAAGTTCAAACCTTTAAGCTTAAAAAAAAAAAAGAAGGCTACTCAAAAAACAAAGACCCAATAAATTTTCTCCAATTTCTTCACTTCATTTGCATTTCCAGCTGAAATGGAAGCAGAAAATGATGAGTACAAGAGAAAAGAGCGCTTAGTGCTGGTGACAATCCTAGTCTTTGCTTCTCTTGCCATTGCTTCTTTGCTGGTGGCCTTTAGCTACTATTGCTACATTAGGAACAAAGTCTCCAGGCGCTTGGAAAAAGCGAGGAAAAGTAAGGACTCTTTTTCCCCCCCTTTGGCTCTTTTTTGTTAACCCTATATTTCTATTTTGGACGTCAAATGGGAGTTCATTATCAAGATTCTGGCTTGTAGGTTCTTGATTTGAGGCCATTCTTCTTTCACCACTAAGAGTTAAAGAGTTTAATGCAGTTTTATATTTTGTGGGTTTTAACTTTATTTTATTTTTATATTTTTCTGGTGCGATATTGCTCAAAGGTTGGAATTATTTTGTAGGACTTTAAGAGTATATTGAGTTTTATGCCAAGGGAACATGGCATTTCTGTTTGTTGAAGCTTTAAGTTAGTAAAAGTGAGTGCTAAGGTGAAGAGGAAAGATCTTTTCTAACCCATTACAAAATGTTGTTTACTAATTATGGTTAGAAAGACGGGGAGAGTAATAGCAGGAAGGCCATGTATATTTCCCATCTAGTGCCTGGAGATACTGCAGATTGAGTACGCAAAAGGAATTTTGTATCTTACTCTGATATTTTTGAAGCTAAAGTTGCCAATTCCATGATTGACTTTTGATCTTGTTCTCCTATCTCTCTTTTCATTGTTACGTAAATAAATTTAAGCGGTTGCTAATGAGGAGAAAGCAAGCAGTTTTGCAAATATTCAAGTTGCTACTCAGAAAGGGCTTCAGGTTTTCACCTTCAAGCAGCTGCATTCTGCAACTGGTGGTTTTGGGAAGTCTAATATAATAGGACATGGTGCATTTGGTTCTGTCTATAGAGGAGTGCTTCAAAATGGGAGGAAGGTTGCAATTAAGTTAATGGATTCGGCTGGAAAGCAAGGAGAAGAGGAATTCAAAGTAGAGGTACATTTTCTTTAAATTGTAAAAGTAAATAGTTACTAGGATCTGTTTTGTCTCGTACTTTATCTTGCTATTAATAGCTGAAAATTGAACCTTGGGGTTTGAATTCTAGACTCCAATTAAGAATAAGTTTCCAAAGATGAATTGTCTTCAAATGTTAGCAGGAAGTTATAGCTTTCTGAGCTTAATATATGAAATGTATGATCCAATACTAGTTTTTGCAGAAGCGACTGTCTAGAATTTAATGTCCTATGACAATTCCAAGTTTGTAAATTGCCAATTCAATAATGAAAAAAATTGAAGTTTTCTTTTGATGACTACCCTTTTGATTATCGATACAGGTGGAACTTCTAAGTCGACTGCATTCACCTTATCTGCTGTTGTTGATTGGCTACTGCTCAGAAAGCAATCACAAATTGCTGGTCTATGAGTTCATGGCAAACGGTGGTCTGCAGGAACATTTGTATCCCATCAGTGGTGAGTTGGTTGGGCGATGAGCTTAGAGTTTTCTTGTATTTAATTCATGACAATACCATAGACTGACCATATTTATTCTCTTTTTCGGGGTGCCTGTTCCGTGCGCTTTTGTGGCAACTTTGCAAGGTCTTCTTCATACGTCATGTAGCTTTCATCTGCCTCTGTCCTTTTAGATTTGGACTAGTCCCCATCATCCGACAATCATGATAATATTGATATGGTTAAAATAGATTGAATAGCAAGAGAAGTATGGGTCTCTATTCTTCCTCGGTAGACATGATTACATCTTTTGGCTAAGAATACTCTTAGTCATTAAGATAAATGCCAATTGTTGTGACACCACCCTGTTAACACACATGAGAGAAAGCAATTCTAAATCAAAGGAAACAAATAAAATAATTTGGTGTAGAAGCTTATAAACAGAAAGCTTTAACTGAACCAAGTCTTCCAGGCCTTCAACTTAAAATATTGAACCTGAAACGTGAAACCACAATGATCTGGAGAAACTTTGGTGTTGAAAATTTCAAGTACGAACATCATTATGTCTCTTAATCCATATTACAAAGGACTAGGACCAGAAAAGCACTATTTGCATTTGAGGGAGAAAATCTGCAATACAGTATAAAATTGCAGAGCAGGACACTTTACACTGCAGCTAATTGGTACAATTAGCAGAAAAACACTTCTAAATTAGAAAGTTCAAAGCTTTATAACTTGGGCACAAGCAAGCAAAAGGGGACAAAGAAGAAGTAAAGATGCGAAAGCCTTTTTCATCTGTTAAGGATTGGTTATGTTTACTTGAGTGATGAGTGGCTCATATGTTGTTGTCTTTCCTGTCTTCAATTGGTTTTCCCCATTTCCATTAACCTTTTTTTTTTTTGCTCTTAAATTTAGGTTCTAATAACGTCTCTTTGAGCTTGGACTGGGATACTCGGTTGTGTATTGCATTAGAGGCGGCAAAAGGCTTGGAGTATCTGCACGAACATGTTAGTCCCCCGGTAATTCACAGAGATTTTAAAAGCAGCAACATTCTTTTGGATAGAAATTTTCATGCCAAAGTTTCTGACTTTGGGTTGGCCAAACTTGGATCTGAAAAAGTTGGTGGGCATGTTTCGACCCGGGTTTTGGGTACTCAAGGATATGTTGCCCCGGAGTAAGGAAGTTTCCTAGTTAATCTTTTGTCAGATTATGTTTGACTTTTCCTTGCACTTTTCTGGATTTCAACCTATCCTTTGATAAATTGACATTGAATTATTTACATGTTGCTACCCTACAGATATGCATTAACTGGGCATCTGACAACAAAATCAGATGTCTATAGTTATGGTATTGTTCTGCTGGAATTGCTGACGGGCAGAGTACCAGTTGATATGAAGAGGCCTCCAGGCGAAGGTGTTCTTGTATCCTGGGTAGGTTCCTTGACTAGTATCCTGCCACTGCTCCACATGGACCTCAGCATTTTGCTTTTCTCCTTTTGCAATCTGAGTCAGAATATTTATGCTATTATCTATGTTATTTAGTCTGTTGCTTCTGGTTTCCTTGTTAGGCATTGCCACGACTCACAGATAGAGAAAAGGTTTTAGAGATTATGGATCCTAGATTGGACGGTCAATACTCAATGAAGGATGTTATCCAAATTGCGGCCATTGCCGCAATGTGTGTACAGCCTGAGGCTGACTACAGACCGCTGATGGCTGATGTTGTGCAATCCCTGGTCCCATTAGTCAAAAACCACCGTCCAACCTCAAGGGCTGGTAGCTGTTCTAGCTTCCATGGTCCCCAGTCTCCGAAGGTTTAGCAGGACAGTGATAAAGCAAGCAGGTGAAAATAATGGACTAAAATTCGTCTTTGTGGTTCTGAATTGTTCTATCCTTGTAAGCTAACAACTGGAGGGAACACTTCCATCAGTTATTCAAGACTCCTGCATTCTGTATCTCTTTTGACAGAAACTAGATTATCATGGTAAGCTTCCTGTGTGTTCTCTAAGTTATGCTTAATGATTATGCTTTAGTTGAACAGATGTTGCAAATGATAGAGTCAGGGATGTATTAATTCTTGTTTCAAACTAGTTGTTCAACATTAAATATGTCCAGTCCTTGTGAGGTGTAAGTCCACAGTATAATGATTTCTAATCAATATATTTCATATCTAGATCTGGTCATGGATTGCAGTTTCTGTGTGCGATGAAGGGTGCTGGAGCTATTTGTCATGCAGTTCTCAATTTTGAATGCTCCTATTGCTTCTTCTTATCTTAACCTAATAAGTCAGAAGTAGCTCCTTGTTAGTTGGTGCAGCGTTCTTTGAATGTCCAGTGTCATTTGGTAAAGTGTCCTTTTCCTCTACTTGTACAAATTTGCTCTTTAGTCACGTTTGGGCTAAGGCTATATCTGATTGGCCCATCTCATTTGACAGCATCAACTTAGCAGTACTTGCTTCACTGTTGATTTTATGGGGATCGCAGCATGCCATTCCTTTGCCATGGTCTGCAATGAGTAGGTAGCTTAGGACCAGCCACATTCTACTGTTTTTGGCTTCTCGAAGTGGGGGGTCAAATGTACTCTGCAATGCAATACAATTTGTCTTTGACAAGTTTTTGGAAGGAAAAGTAAACCACCTAAAATCTTAATTGGAATGAAAAGTTACCCAAACAAAAAAAAAAAAAAAAACGGAAGAAAGAAGTAATGGTTCAGCAGTTAATTTCAAGAATGTTGGTTTCTGTTGTTATGATACAGTACCAGATGAAGAATTATCTCCACGGATTGTGCCAGGTAAAAAAAAAAAAAGTCTAATCCTAACTATTTTTCTTTGCCTTCTTTACGTAGTACCGTAAATAAGAAGAGGTGGTATTCAAGAAGATTAGCTTGACTTGTGCATAAAAAAGACTGCTTTGCTAAAAGATAGACTTTCTCCATCCACAAGCATTAATTGGATACAAGAAAATATCTCCCGCGCGGTTTGAAATCTTTAGCCAGCGCGCTTGTTGACTGCTGTATGTGATTACGAAGTAATTCAGGGAGCAAAAGCCAGTCCGGCTATATCATTGTCAAGGCACACTCCACAAGGAATAATTCCATGCATGTTACTTGAAGGCGGAACTGACTAGTTACCAATATTTGCTTGATGCGCCATTCACAAATCAAATCAACTCCAATAATTTTCTTGAATAATGGTCCATATGCATTTACTTATCTAACCAACTCATTTAATTATCTAACTCGAGAGAATATTATTATTGATCCAAAAGTGCACTACTTTACGCAAATTCATAATCCCAATTGCGCTACATTCTAGACGAAAAAAACTTACATGCTCAAACTAAAAATTTTTTTGACATGCTAAAAATGTTCAACTAATACCCAATATTTGGGTGCCCTGTTTCTAGAGTAGTGTGGCAGAAACTGCTAAAGCTATGCTTGATTCAGAGAGCACCATTTCCATGGCAACAAGAGCTGCAATGAGTGTGTTCTCATTGGAAGTCCAGCTCTTTTCCTGATTACGCGCGAAGACTTGGTCTTGCTGTTGCAGTATACTGCTTGTGGAAAGCACGGAACCAGACTAATAATAATATTCCAACAAACTCCTACAGATGCTACAAAACTTGTGAATTGCTGGATGGAAGAAAAACCCACGAAACAAAAAAGAGAGCTGGGATTTAGTGATGGAACTTGGACTTTCTCATAATTGCTTTAGATGAATTCTTCGTGCAGATATATAATTATGATGCATTTGGATTTAATTTCTTTGTACGCTCTCCCTTTTCTGATCAATAAAAGCATGAAAGTTTACATTAAAAAGTATATACTATTGTTTTTTTTCTTCCACGCATCGTCTTGGTAAATGATGCACATTTTCCACTGATTGTTGATTGGACGTCCTACCAAGTGGATTGCAACGTAAACCAATTTCTCAGCTTATAAGGTAGAGAAAAATCTAGTAAACAGTACAATGGATGTGTTTATCTCTTCTTGAGCACGACATTTGTTTTTTTCTTCCACAAATGCAGAGAAAACACTCACACACCACTCGTTTAAACGACGCAAAAGGCATCGAGAAATCGGCCCATTTGGACAATCTAAGAGGGACTCATAGAAAAACTCCATCCAGCCAATTGGTGACATGAAGAGCTCTCCATCCAGGAAGGCCAATTGAGCACGACATTTGCTGAAAACCAATTTCATGACTTTGCATTATCCTTTCATGTGACTATCACTCTATATATTACTTACGGATTATAATAGTCAAGCCTCACTAAGTTCCAACCCCATTAGAAAATTGGAAAACTGAAAAACCTCTTTAAGTTCTACGCCATTAGTCGGCACGTTTTGTAGATTAAGAGGACAGGTTGCAATACCCTTTGTTGCATGGATGACTCTAGAAGCATTAGTCAATTCCCCTTTTAATTATGGTGTCTCCTACCTTCGTTTCCATCTTTTTTCCCCCCTTTACGGATGGCACTTTCGTTGTCATCCATTTAACCAGAGTGAAAGGATAAAAGATCTACGCGTTTAGACTTTGGTGCACCAACCAAAGTTTGAAATGTTACATGTAAACAGAAGAGCTTTTTCCTGCCCTGTTCTCCATTTCTCGTAAGCAGCATGCATGCTTACTTGTGCCTATAAATAGTTGGGAGTTCATGCACTTTTAATCAGCCATCTATCCCCAAGAAGCCTGTTTTGGAACCTATAGAATACTACCTAAAAAGAGCATAGTCATCATGGCCTTCAGAAACTATTTTGTCATTCTTTTGGTTACGTCAACTCTCGTTTGTTTTGCCAACGGACAACTCTCAGCTAACTTCTATGCTTCCACATGCCCAAATCTCCAAGCCATTGTGCGAAAGGCCATGACAGCAGCTGTTAACCAAGAGCAACGGACTGGGGCCTCCATCCTACGCTTATTCTTTCATGATTGCTTCGTGAATGTAAGAACCCTTTTGCATTTCATCAAAGCAAGCACAAAGGCAATTGATAAAATGATTAGGAAACTACTATATATTATTATTCATGTACCATTGTTTATCCTTTTGTCTTGGACCCTATCTTTGGGTCGGTTATTACAACGAGTTCAAATTCAAGCACTATATTATATCTGAGGCTCGAATGCTCATCATCAAGTTTGATCGAGTTTAAATGAATTTTAAATTGTGTGTGTGTGTCTATATATATAATTTATTATATTTACTAATATGAATCGTATATTGTGTTCTTTGTCTATTATTATATATAGTATTAATTTATATTACTTGAACTTGATTGAGTTGATTTCAAGTTCAATTAAACTAAAATGAAATTAAACTTGAGTTCAAATATTTTAACTCAATCAATTTCGCACTGTGCGAGTTCCACTCTTTTTCATCCCTACAATAAGCTATTCTTTGAAATAAAAATGTAGACTGCAGGATTCTATGCAGTTGGTGTTTTTGTCGAAGGCAAAAATCTATCGTACCTGGATCATTTCATGGCTAGAATTGGAATTTCTTTAGACTTCGGATTTCAAGACTCGAGTTCGACAATCATTGCATCCTTGAAATCCTTGTTCAATATTTCCCACGTCTTTTTATGAACAACCGATTGTAAACACCAGAGCATGCATTACTTTATGTCGGCAGTCGGCAGACCAGCTGTCACGCCAGCTTTTATCTTTGGTATTCTAGGGCTGTGACGGAGGTATACTGTTGGACGACACAGCAACTTTCAAAGGTGAAAAAACTGCACGTCCGAACAACGGGTCGGTAAGACGTTTTGAAGTGATTGACACCATCAAATCCAATGTTGAAGCCGCTTGTAAGGCGACGGTATCTTGTGCTGATATCCTTGCTCTAGCTGCTAGAGATGGAGTGGCCTTGGTAAGTTTTGATATAAAGCCTTGATTCCTTTGATAGTTATCTGCACCTGAAAGTACCTGCCCATATACTTTTTCCCACAACGTCTAGAGTACTTCACTTACTCCAGTGAAGTAGGCTGAGAGATTGATGATATTATGGAAGAAGGCATGGCATGGTTTTTCTTAGCACAACTCATTTGAAATCATGCATGTAAAAGATTGACTTAAAGATGTAGTACCATCAAGTTTTACTTTAAACCTTGAAAAACTTGTCTCTTTGTTCGAAAGTATACGTTGTGACTTGTTATTACGTAATATGACAAGTATTTTTTTGACTCTCAAAACTCTTTTTTTTTTTTTTTCTATTATTCCCTTCCCCTCGTAAGTCGTAATATGAGAGAAGGATAAAAAAATTTTATAAAAAAAAACGATGTAATTATTTCGTATGAGGGTATTTGTATAGTCTATTTGTTACAATATGTGTTTTCATCCTTAATTAGTATTACACTGTCATAGTAAAAAAGGATCAATTAATATCCATACTTGGTGCAGCTTGGAGGACCAAGTTGGACAGTACCCCTCGGCAGAAGAGATGCAAGAACAGCAAGCTTCAGTGGTGCAAACAGCCAAATCCCTCCTCCTACTTCCTCCCTGTCAGCCCTAATCTCCAGGTTTGCTACCAAAGGCCTAAGCGCCCGGGATATGACCGCACTTTCCGGTGGCCACACCATCGGTCAAGCTAGGTGTACCTCATTTCGACCGCATATCTACAATGATACCGATATTGACCCAGCTTTTGCGGCCAAAAGAAAAGCCAATTGCCCATTATCAGGTGGTGACAACAATTTGGCACCCTTGGATCTTCAGACTCCTACTAAATTTGAAAACAATTACTACAAGAACCTTTTGGTTCGACGTGGGCTACTTCATTCAGACCAAGAACTGTTTAATGGTGGCTCTCAAGATGCGTTAGTCAGGACTTACAGCAGTAGTGAGGCTACTTTCAGGAGTGATTTTGTGGCTGCAATGATCAAAATGGGTAATATTAGCCCTCTTACTGGCACCCAAGGAGAGATTAGAAGGAACTGCAGGGTGGTTAATTGATTCACTGATGCTTGTTGTGCTGTTGTTTTTTTCTTCTTGCTCTAATGTCTTATTTTGGAGGTATTGGACAACATATATATATATATATATATAGCGTGATTCTAGATGCGGTGGAATCAGCAAAAAGGAGCCAAAATAAGCTCGATATGTTTCTTCAACTTGTACCTTCAGATTGAATGAATCTTGATTGTTATTGTTTTTATGACTTATTCACAGGGGAAGGTTTCTCTATGTAGCACTTATTTATACTACTGTAATTTAAATAGAAACTGAAAGTTTGGCTTATTTTGTGGACAAAATAATCCAGTCCAAATCAACTCCACGTACGCTTATCTTGAATAATGGTCCATATGCAGTTAATTGTCCTACTCATAATTCCAAGAAATAATTGACCCAAAAGTGGATGGCAGCAGTGTGCTGCAAATTTCCAGCTTACTAGGTGGGAAAAAATATTGTACTCCCTTCGTCCCGTTTTATTAGTTTTGGTTTTTTTTTTCACACAGATTAAGAAAGTATAATTAATTTGGTTGGAAACATAAATTTAGATTAATAATTTCCTAAAATACCCTTATGCTAATCAATGTAGTCAATGTATTGGAAAAGCTCAATGTATTTAATGTAGTGGGTGAGTATTTAATAACAATATATTAATAACAAGATATTTAATAAGGGTATTTTAGACAAT